AATCTCTTGTGATATGTCCTATAAGATTAAGTGAATGTACAGCACATGGTGTGAAAATGGCATATTTATTATGTTCTAAAATTTTTTGTTGCATGCCTTCATAATACCCTGAAATATTGGCAGCATTGTCATAGAACTGACCTCTGCACTTAGAAAACTCAATTTTGGAAACTTCACATAAATACTGAAGTTCTTGATTTGCAATTTCTTCACCAATACGACTTTTTAAGCTAGTACATGTGATAAATCACTCAACAGGTTTTCCACCTGCTGGAGATATGTATCTTTAAACAATGCTTAGCTGATCTGTATGAGAAAGATCAGGAATGGAATCTACAGACAAACTGAAATATCGAGCTATACTTTTCTGAAAATAGTTGATTGAACTTTATCACTTACAGAGTTTATTAATTCTTCATGTTATTTTAGACATATATGATGGGTTGCCCTTTCCTATGTTACCATATTTTGAGATGTGACTTGCTAAAAATGTATCAAACTGAGCAAGAAGTTCAAGAAAACCCCCAAAATTTCCATTTTGTGGGGACCCAACCACTTCATTTTTCCTCAAAAAGATAGTCCACCTCCAGTGATTTTTATAATGACAGCAACAACACTTTGCAAAATGACTTTCCAATACTGATGTTCTTCAGTAATTAGCATTTTCAGTTCATGAGTTAAGCCCAAACCATGTCTTCAGTTTAAATATGACAACATACATATCTCTGTGAATTGAACTGTTTTCTTGTTTATCAATCATATTCAAATTGCACCAATCACTACATCCATCAGTAGCAAATTGAGAATTAACTGATTTAGGACTGAATAGCTTGCAAACAAAACAATATACAGAGCTGAATGATGAAGAATGCAGTAGTCTCCCTCTTATAATTTTCACTATTAGCTTCGCATCCTAGAAATACATTCTGGTTACAGAACCTTGTTTATTTACTGTCCAGAAGTTTTCGACATGAATTTTCAAATGGTCCACTGTGATGTAGACAACCACTCGGACCTCTTCTGATCCAATAATTTACATCATTAGAAGAAAAATTAGTCCACAGAATGTCATTTGTATTTCAGATATTCCTGGGATCTGCAGATTTGACAATTTCAGATTCTAGAATAATTTCCCTTTCTACACCATTATTTTTTACTACAGCGAGGATAGGCAGATATATTCATGTTGATATTTGTAATGTCAGTGGTAGTGGTACTAGTACAATGATTTGCACCCATTAAATTCACTTGTTCAGTGGAAAAATTCTCTTTAGATTCGTTACGTTTTAAAAAGGAAGTTAATTTTGGAATTGTATTTAGGGAGTCACAAATCCTTTCCTTTTTATCTTTTGCCAGCTTTCTCTTTTGTGCTCCACTTAGTTGTTGCCATCGTATTTTACCTGGATATAAAATTAAGTCACTTTTAAATTTTGATTCTACCCTAGCAAATAAATTTGAATAATTGAAAATAATAAAATTTATAACAAGTAAACTTTATAAAATAAAATTTACATTCAAATTTGGACACTAACACATAAATTTATATTTGAAAAGAACTATATATTTCAAATTTTTTTCATGTTTGAAAATTAGTAATTGAAAACATGGTTTGTAACATTTGTTATTTTGTTAATTTTGTTCTTCAGATCTGAGATAGTTAAAAGAAATAGTACTTACAAGACAGTCAGAAATAATTTCGTTTGTTTGAGGTACAATGTTTGCTGGTGAGCCCTTCCCACCAGATCTCCATGAGTGTTTTCCGCCTTGAAATAATACTTAAAAACTTGCGAACTTACTTTTCATCCTTTAATGATTCGTCTTCACAGTTCTTTAGACTACCTGATACCCAACGTGAGTGATTGCAAAAAACATGATACAAATACAAGGGTATGCTCAATTTGAAGACACGTGTTGGTTGGATTTGCCCAGGACAGGACCAGATACGTCATGAGTCATGTGATTATGCTGACCTGGTGGGTTCTTATGTGGTTGATGGGAGAAAACTGAATGTGAGGTTATACCTAATCAGTCCAAAATGAAAAGGAAAATATAATTTTTATCATATACAAAATTTATAAAATGTACGTTTTCTTTCTGGAATTGTTTAATTCCTTTATTTAGAGACATGTACATAATTAATGTAACAATAGCACCACTTCTCCATGAGTAAGTTTGTTCTGCAAGTCATAACAATATCAAGGAAAATGGAAAATAAAATATATGTATGCAATTTTTATTATCTAAATATTCATTTAATTAATTTCTCAAGGAATCATTTAGTTTCCTTATATGGAGATATGTAAATCTTCTGATAAAATATAAATGTAATGCTCTGATAAGTGTACTTTGTTGCTTTCTTGGAAGACAAATTTAGAAACACATGCATTGTTGCAAAACATGTTTTGTTTTGCACCATAAATATTGAATATTGTGTCCTCTTAGTGTGTCTAATACTTCCTTTATTAGTGTATATCGAGTAATATCAAGTATTGTGTCCCATGCATCAGACAATAAAAAATGAAACTCACTCGATACATAAATTAAAACTTTTCATGTTAGATAAATATTAATATTTTTGGTATTTTTTGGACATTTTCTATGTTAGTATTATATTAAACTATTACCCAGGTCAGCATTTTATTAAATGTATGCTAGATTGCTTCTATGTGTATCCAAACATATTTTAAATTTAAAGTTATAAATATTATTATTTACAAAACTTAGGACATAACTCTGTATGTAAATGCTATACAGTTAAAAAGTAACTTCATGGAATTCATGGCAATGGTTGATTTATTCAAGTTCTCTCTCTTTTGTGCATCATCTGGGACCGGAGTTCTCATTGATTGTTTACCAGGACGTGTACAAGAGGATACCCTTGTGTTTGTATCATGGCAAAGAGACATCGCTGGCCCTCCTGTCTGGAGTTACTGGATCAGCAGACGTGAATGTACAAAATGGTTCTCTTAAAATGGATCAGAGAGCTGTTATCTGTTAATATAATCTGTCTTTGCCCACTAACTGCTCATGTTGGATCCAGGTGTATACTGAGTGAATGTAGCAAGAATTAGACTCCACAGCCCACCCCTACCTCTTGTTTATTGCAAAGAAATAGTATGCTCCCAAGAGACCTGCCTAGATAAGGAGTTTCAATTACACAGGAGGGGACTGTAGCAGACAAATGTCAACAAAGTTGTTGAAGCGGTAGGGGCCTCATAGCTTAAACAACCCTGCGTGAACTTTATTTCTAGCAGGCGCATTCTCACGCACTGGAGCTGGTATTAGTTTCATTTAATGCCCTGCCAGTTCCCTTCCACTGGGGCACTCGCTTTTCCTTGTGCCCTGTCTGCTTGGCATCTATAGATTTTTGCTTTGGGCAATGGATGCCTCTGTTTTTTTGATGCCCTAAGCACGTGCTTACCTTGCTCACTGGGTAATCTGTACCTGGCTCAAACATAGCAATGATTGTGAGGATGATGCAGGCCTGGGCAGTGCTTCATTCTGTCGTATATAGGGTCATTATGAAAGGGAACTGACTCTACAGCACCTAAAAACAACAACAAAGAACATACTGGGAAAGTGGAAACTAGAACCACAGACAGGTACATCCATTCAACTAGCATTCTCAGATTACTACGTTTTACTGTTAGTCAGTTTTATTTCCTTTTATAGTAGTTGGAAGTCAAAGTATAGATGTTGAGCACCCTATGGCTTAAAAACTCTTTTTCAAAGGCAATTATTTGACTTTTGCCTATTCGTGTAAGTTAATATTTGTTTGGAAATTCTATGTTATTCTTTATCTTCACATTGCCTTTAATTAAAGAGCTTAAAGATCTATTCTGCCTTAATAGGTGGGTGTTATGATTCTGTTTTGCAGACAGACTCACAAGAACACAAATGACTTGAACAATAGCTGGGTGAGTGCGTGAGTCAACCCAAGAAACTGAACAGAACCCCGGGCTTCATGCTCTTGCTGTTCTGTGGTTAGGTCAGGAGGGGTGAATGGCAGGACAAGCGTTGCTCATTGTAAGCAACGGGCAAGTCTGGGCAGTTGTGTGTAAATTCAAACTCTGTAAACTGATTCCATTTTAAATAAGCTTAAGGAGCTCATTGGCATTTACATTCATTCATTCATTTATTTACCAAACATGTGTTAAGCATTTGTGATGTGCCAAGTAAATATACTTTCCATGATTTTTGTTGTTAATAATTTTTTTAATGCAAGTGATCCTTCTCGAACCCCCTTAAGGAAATTTAGCAGCCCCCTCCCAGGTGAGCCCATAGCAGTACATTTGCCGAAGTCTGAGTGATGCCATTTAAATAATAGCTGGCATATGGGGAGCCTTTCCTACTTCAAGGTCTTACTCCTTTTGAGGACTTTTTACCAGCAAAAGATGAAAATATGTCTCCTCCTTGCTCTTAGTCTTCTGGGCAATAATAATTGGCTCAAATACACACACATATACACATATACAAATATACATATGAAAATACACATCTCCTAGTGCTTAATAATAACTCTCAGATACCTTCCATTTCATTAAAGAAGGGAAATATTTTTCTTGCTACAGCATAATTTGTATATATTCTTTTGGAAACTCTTTTATAGTATTATACCAACAATACTAACCCTCCTTTTCAGTATTTATTATTTATTTTCCTATTTTCCGGTTATGTCCTGGGCCTGCTAGGATCTTGTTATATCATAAACCCTTCAGGACCATCTCATATACTTTGTAACCCTGAGTGCACGCCTTCTCTGTTTATTACTCGGCTTTGTATTCACAGAAGAACAGTGTGGAGCGGGAGAGGTAGGGAGTTGCTGGGACCTTCTCAGACTTGATTCAATTAGTTTCTTAGCACCTTTTTACCTTCTCTGTGCTCTTTCCTTTGTCCTAAAGGCTTTCAATGAGGCCCTTGCGCCTCACTCTGAAGCCTTTAGCCCAGGGTATGTGTCGCAATGAGGAAATTGCTGCTTCTCCTTTCTCCATCTTGCTCTTCTCCTCTGGCAGTTTCAGTTGGCTGAGTGACTTTAGGAAGATCTAGGTCCTGCATGAGCTCAGAGGGATTAGATGGAGCTCCCAGTGTCCTCTCTGGTTTGGGTTCCTGTTTCACGGTTGGTGCCAGGTATGATTCATCGTTTGTGCCTTGGTGGTAGGGCTACTATTTCTTCTTTCAAGATGGAGGTCTTTGTTTTCCTTTGTACATTTTTATTGCTGCTTTTGTCTTTATTAGATTTTGAAAGAGAAGAGAGGGATAAAAATGCATTTTCCTCACCCTTTTAGACCACAGGACTAAGGTATGGAGTAGATTTCCCTGTCCCATTGATTCTAGGCTTGACCACGTGCCTTTCTTTGGCCAATTGATGTATGGGCAGGAGTGACCATGTGCAATTGCAGGCTGGGGCCTCAAGAGACATCATGTGCTTCAGCTTGCCCTCCTGACCTCTGTTGTTACCATGAGAAGGGCATACTCCTGCAGGCCCCTGGTGCCAAGAGAACGAGTGGTATAAAGGTATAAAAGAAAAAAAAACCCTTGGCCGTTGAGTCGATTCTGACTCATAGTGACCCTATAGGACAGAGTAGAACTGTCCCACAGGATTTCCAAGAAGTGCCTGGTGGATTTGAACTGCCAACCTTTTGGTTAGAAGACATAGCTCTTAACCACTGCGCCACCAGTTTCCAAGGAAGGTATAGTGCTAGCCTATTACGCTCATACTATTTGTTCATCTCTGATTCGAGGCTCCTGACAACCTCTCTGGATTATCCAAAGATAAGCCTCAGACAAATCAGCTTCTGAAATTTAAAGGCTAGTGCAAAAAAAAAAAAAAGAAGCTTCACTAAATGAAACTGATCTAGCTTGGAATAGTGTAGATTGTCTGAATAAGGTTTGCAAGAATATTAGGAAGACGAGGTGACAGTTTGGAATGGAGGAAACGCACTGAACTTAAAATGAATTGACGTGAGTTTTGTTCTGAGTCTGGTTTGTTTTTAAACCCATGGCAAACCAGTTAATACCCCTGAGGCGCAGTGTCCTGAAGAGTAATATGAACACACGAATTTATGTTTCTTTCCATTCAAAACTCAAAAAAAATCTAAAATCTATAACAAAATAACAAATCAGTCCAAAAATAGTTCTGTAAATAGCCTATAACTGTTGTCTACTCCTTAGATCTGTATCAGACCTTAACCATAGACTGAAATCCTCACAGGTAAGCTAGTATTAAAATACTTGTATTGCTAACTAAGTTTCTTCTTAAAAACAAAATAGAACAACAGAAAACCTTCTGTTCTAGTTGGTCATTGCCGCAATTGTGGTCCACTAGAGTCAGCAGGGTCTGGACTTGCTAAGGTCCCTGGGTGGCGCAAACGGTTTATGTTCGGCTACTAACACAAAGTTGGTGGTTCAAACTCACCCAGAAGCACCATGGTAGAAAGTCCTGGTGATCTACTTCAGTAAAGATTACAACCAAGAAAAACTTACGGAGTTTAGTTCTACTCTGTAACACATGAGGTTGCCATGAATCAGAATCCACTTGAAGGCAGCAGGATTTATTTTTTGGACTTTGCTAGTTATATTAGGTATTATTTTTAGAGATGATTAAACTACAATTATGTGAGCATATATCTTCATAAAATCTAAGGAATATTTTGCTTCAGTTAGTATATTTAAATATTTTAATGAGTCAAATAAGAATTGAGGGGTACAGAAATTGTTACATCATTTTTGGTGGCCAATTTGGAAATTTATTTTTAAAAAATCTTCAGGTGTTCATGCTCCTTGCTGTGTATTCTTCTAAAAATTTATTTTAATGAAATGTCAGAGATGCAACTAAAGATTGATTACAAGGATCAAAGTATTATTTATTTATTTTTTAAAATGTTCTTTGAAAATAAACAGCACCATACTCACACAAATACAGTTACCAAATCATTTGATTGCTGCCTTATTAAAGTCAAATAATTGATAAGCTGACTAAACTGTTAATCTTTCAACTAGTAGGATTTTGTTGATAGTAGAGAATTTATAAGTTCTGTGCTCTCTTTTGAGCCAGAGGGGTACAGGGCCATAGCTGTCATTCTCCCTAGAGAAGAAGGTAATATTGACTCTGCTGAGAATTTATTTTCATATATTTCTTTAGTTCTCATGAAAATGAGAATTATTTTCTCCATTTAGTGCTTGCTGCTTTCTTGACCATGGACAACCACACTTCTAAGGAATCTCTAACTTATTTTAATGTAGCCCATTCCTGTTTAGGAAAATCAACCAACATGAATAACATAAATGACAATTTTGTTTCAATATTAGTGTATTCCTGATCCCATCTTTCCAACTGGGCAAAGTTAATAAAGATTTCTAATAGAAGATTTTGGTAGAGAGAAATAGAAATCTCTTTATCACATTTAATATTTTTTTAGTATCTAATTTCAATGAGGTATAAGATTAAATAAAAAAAGCAAATGGAATATGAAGTTTCAACTATATTTGTTTCTTTTTTTTTTCATTTTACTAGAGTAGCAAAATACTGTTTTGCAAAAATGTCACTGCAAGCCCTATTTAATGAAATTCACATTCAAGTTGATATTATCTTGGTTAAGATTATAATAGCTACAGGCAATTATTCTGCAAACTATCTTCAAAACTCTCTGGCAGACCAATTTTCACATTATTTTTTGTAAACTGCTCCTTTTGGTGGAAAAAGACTGAAAAATTATCAGAGTCTTCATATACTGAAATCCAGGCTTGACATTGGTTTTACTCAGAGCAAATTAGGGCAATTCCTGTTGCGAAGACCTGTCCTTTGACTTACAAACCCCTGGTCTGTGAGTGTCTTTTGTTTATGAACAAAGTCTGGGCCTTTCTCCTGAGAGCTCTGGCCTCTGCTCCACTTCCTGGCCCTGCTTGGAAAGCTGGCATGCTCTTGCCCACCTTTGTGCTGCTGGGGAAATCACAGACTCCGGCATTTCCCTCCAGCCTCCTGTGGCTGAAGCAGCTTTCCACTGCTGAGGCACTTACTTCTTCGTCATTCAGGCCCAACTATGAGAGACTTTTTTATGGGTTCTCTGGCTTAAAATCACAATTAGAAGCAATATAAAAATAACCTAATGAATGATCAGATCATTTCCGTAATACTATTTGGGACACACACAACTTTGTTTCTATATCAGAGTATGTGAGTGAACAGCTTATGCTTTCAGAAATTGCTCCTTTAAAATACATCCCAACTACTTCTCTCTCCATCAAAATACATGATAATGGAGTCAAAGTTTAAGCAACATGATGATCATTGGTCTTCTTCAATATAAGAATGAATCAATATAGAGAAGCCTTCATGCATTTTGGGATACAACATTGATATTACTTTTTAAAAGGCAAAGTTTCCTCTGTGGGGATATGCTAGGAATCTCAAGTATCTCTTAACTGATAAATGAGGAGTTAATAGAGGCTTTAGCTCACATCCCTCCCAAATTTCTAACGCTGTTGTAAGTTACTATATGGTTCCATCTTGATTTTCAAAGGAATGACTTTAGCCAGGTAGCTTGGCCTATCTGGCCCTAACTTTCTCAGCCTTGAAAGGCGAACAATGTGGAAATGTACATGACAGAATTGAAATGGTAGCATGACATAATATATGTGAAAGGACTTCGCAAAGTGTAACACGCACCACAAGTGAAAGGACTATTGTTTTTTTTTTAGTTATTTTTTTTATTGTTGTAGTTTAAGTGAAAGTTTACAATTCAAGTTAGTCTTTCATACAAAAATTTATACATACATTGTTATGTGACCCTAATTGCTCTCCGTATGCTGTGACAGCACACTCCTCCTTTCCACCTCTGATTTCCCATGTCCATTCAACCAGCTCCTAACCCTCTCTGCCTTCTCATCTCACCTCTGGACAGAAGCTGCCCATTTAGTCTCATGTATTTACTTGAGCTAATATGCACACTCTTCACGAGTATAATTTTATGTCCCACAGTACAGTCCAATTTTTTTCTGAAGAGTTGGCCTTGGGAATTGGTCTAGTTCTGGGTTGACAGAGAGTCTGGAGGCCATGCTTTCTGGAGTTCCTCCAGTCTCAGTCAGATCATTAAATCTGGTCTTTTTACTAGAATTTGAGTTCTGCACCCCATCCTTCCCCTGCTCCATCAGGGACTCTCTGTTGTGTTCCCTGTCAGGGTGGTCATTGGTGGTAGCCGGGCAATATCCAGTTCTGGCTGATGGAGTCTCTGGTCTATGTGGCCCTTTTGTCTCTTGGGCTAATATTTTCCTTGTGACTTTGGTGTTCTTCATTCTCCTTTACTCCAGGTGAATTGGGACCAATTGATGCATCTTAGATAGCCACTCTCTAGCTTTTAAGACCCCAGACGCCACTCACCGAAGTAGGATGCAGAACATTTTATTAATAAACTTTGTTATGCTATTTGACCTAGATGTTCCCTGAAAGCATGGTCCCCAGACCTCCATCCTGCTACTCTGTCCATCGAAGTGTTAGAAAACAACTTAGCTTTGGTTTAGTCCAGTTGTGCTGACTTCCCCTGTAGTGTGTGGTGTCCTTCCCTTCACCTAAGATAAATCTTGTCTACTATCTAGTTAGTAACACTCTCCCTCCCTCCCCACCCTAGTAACCATCAAAGAATGTTTTCTTTTGTGTTTAAACCTTTTCTTGAGTTCTTTTAATAGTGGACTTACACAATATTTGTCCTTCTGTGACTGACTAAATTCACTCAGCATAATGCTCTCCAGATTTCTCCAAGTTATGTTTCACGGCTTCATTGCTGTTCTTTATCATTGTGTAGTATTCCATCGTGTGGATATACCATAATTTCTTTATCCATTTGTCCGTTAATGGGCACCTAGGTTTTTCCATCTTTTTGCTATTGTGAACAGTGCTGCAATGAACATGGGTACGCATATATCTATTCATGTGATAGCTCTTATTTCTCTAGGTTACATTCCAAGGAGCCGGATTGCTGGATCGTATGGTATTTCTATTTCTAGCTTTCTAAGGAAGTGCCAAATCGATTTCCGAAGTGGTTATACCATTTCACATTCCCACCAATAGCATATAAGTGTACCAGTCTCTCCACAACCTGTCTGGCATTTATTGTTTTGTGTTTTTTTGATTA